GTGGAACCTGTTCATCGAGTGGTGTTCTTCTCACCGAGAAGACCCCCAGAGATGCCCGATCAGAGTCATGCTTTCCTTTTTGCAGCAAGAGCTGGAGCGAAGGCTGTCTCCCTCCGCCCTTAAAGTTTATGTCACTGCGATTGCTGCTAACCATAACCATGTGGAAGGGAAGTCGGTAGGTAAGCATGACCTGGTCATCAGGTTCCTTAGGGGGGCGAGAAGGTTAAATCCTTCCCGGCCCCCCTCCATACCCTCTTGGAACCTGTCTCTAGTGGTTAAAACAGGTTAAAACTCTGCTCCTGCTTGCACTGACCTCCATCAAGAGGGTAGGGGACCTGCACGCATTTTCGGTCGACGATTCGTGCCTAGAGTTTGGGCCGGCTGACTCCCAGGTAATCCTGAGGCCCTGGCTATGTGCCCAAGGTTCCCACTACTCCCTTCAGGGATCATGTGGTGAACCTACAAGCGCTACCCCCGGAGGAGGCAGACCCAGCCTAGCTTTGCTCTGTCCCTTGAGATGCTACATAGACCGGATACAAAGCTTTAGGACCTTAGACCAGCTCTTTGTCTGTTACGGAGGCCGGCAGAAGGGGAAGGCCGTCTCTAAGCAGAGGATGGCCCACTGGATTGTGGATGGCATCGCCCTGTCTTATCAGGCACAGGGTGTGCCCTGCCCGCTCAGGTTGCGAGCTCAGTCTACTAGGAGTGTTGCATCCTCCTGGGTGCTGGCTCGTGGCGCCTCGCTGACAGATATTTGTAGAGGTGCGCGCTGGACGACCCCCAACACATTCGCTAGATTCTATAGCCTTCGTGTGGAGCCGGTATTCCTGTGTTCTCAAATGGGTAGAGGCACTGAGAGGCCCCGGTTTAGTGTCGGCTTGCTAAAACTGCTCCAGAGTGTCCATACTGTAGACCCTGTCGAGCTCCTCCATCCCCTCGGCAGCCAGATGTGGCGGAACGTCCGGCGCCAGGCCTTCACTCGATGAATCCTTGAGAACTGGTAGAAGGCTGGGTTCCATATGTGAGACCTGAGTGGATCCCATATGTGTAAGGTCCACGGTATAGCCTCAGAGCCCGTGTTTCCCCGGCAGACTTTTGCCATTTCCAAGAGGGTTACAATCACCTCCAATTTTCCATATGCACCAAACGGATGTTCATATGTGCATTTGCTTCCAAAACCTCCTTCGGGAAGGATGGGGCTTCCGCAGCATCCCTGTTCCAAGTGGAACGGGTACGTTTTCCCAGTGTTATCCAATCTCACTGAGTGGGTTGTGTTATGACAACGGTGAATGGTCTTCTTGTTGCGAGCCCCAGCCTACACCAAAAAGGGGCGCCATCAACTATGTTGGGTACAATATGTTTTGTTTGTTTGTTTAATTCAATTCAAATATATATTCAAATCTGAGGTTAACCTGACAAAGAAATAACAAATAACACTTGTTATTAGTGTTAAATACATTAAATACATGTGTTACGTAAAGTGTAGCACTTAATCAGAATTTGTAGTGGCATCATAACTGATTAATGTTACCACATTAACATTGTTATTTCTCTGTTTTATTAACGTGAAGCTGCTTTGAAATAATCTGCATTGTATGAAGCCCTATATAAATGTCACGAATCCGGTCTATGAACTTCAATTCGCTCACCACCAGAGGTCACCCTTACATTACATTGACTCTCGCACTACACAAACTGTTGCATGTCATCCCGGACTACATATCCCATCATCCATTGCACTGATTGCACACAGCTGTAACCAATCACACATTCACTATATAACACTCACTCTGATCCCTTTCAAACTGCCGAGTATTGTATAGTGTTTATTACTCTCATAGTGGTAGCTACTCTCCGGAGCCTGTCTAGTTTTTCATAGCCTTATCTTAGTCTTGCCTTGTCTGTTTTCTTGTGTCCTGATTTTTGCCTGTGTATCTCAGATTCCCACTCTCGTCTTGCCCTATTCGGATAATGTTTGCCACTGCCTGGACCTTTGCCTTGTACCTGGATTTATCCCTCTAGTCTCGCCCTGTTGATTCTGTTCGCTGATCGTAAACCCACGTTAGCCCTAGGAATATTCTTGTGTCTTGCCCTCTATATACCTGTTGCCATTATCTGACCCTTGCCTGTTTCTGACCATGTCGGTTAATAAAGCTTCACACTTGGGTCTGCACATCTCACGTCTCAGTCACTCTGTGACAATAAACATATGTGACCTGACTTGACATACAGTTTGTCCGTAACATGGTAACAAGCAAGACATATTGCTTGGAAAAGTGTTCTTGTGCCATTTATTTTCAAATAAATACACAGTTGTATATTTTGCAATAATACATTAAGACATTCATACATTTCTGTCAGGACCACTATCGTCAAAGATGATTGACAATTAGCATACAGTATGGATTGGCGGTATGGGTCTGTTCTGGGCAAGAACTCCCTGCGCATCCATGCAGCCTAGCATGGATGAGAGCAGCGATAAACCCCCCAGGGTAAACAGAACAGAACCAACATAAATGTATTGCAGATATCATTAAAGTTCAATAATGTTATGTACACATTTTAGAATTAGTCTGATTCAAAGGAGAATCAGAAGGCTGAATCCTGACTGACAGAGGAGGAGTTGGGGATGGAGGAGGGTAATTAGCTATTAAGCAATGGGAAAACTGCTGATAATACTGAGGGACCTTATGTATGAATGCGTAGATAGGTGTTGTATTCCCATAGGTTGATGGGGATCAGCTGAGAGTCAGCTGATGCGAGCTTGACTAACGTGACGCTAGATTTTTGTTGCCTGCATTAAAAAAAAAAGTTTTTGGGTCACTGCATACAGAGCAGTTTTTATGATATAAAGAAGTAAATAAATATCATATAAAGAATGTTTCCATATATTCAAACATGACCACCAACAGTTAAGTCATTAATCAGAGTCTTTGTCTGAAATTGCACCCAATGCTCTTACATGGTGTATTATTTCAGTGGGACAGACATTTTTGTGGTGTCTGAAACCATAGTGGACATTATTCATTCAGGCCCATCATGCGCCGCAATAATGACTGCCCAGTCAACAATTTGATCTCACAGTGATGTCACCATGAGCTCCCAGGATACTCGTGATGAGGTCACAATGTGAGGTCACAGGGAGCTAAAAGTGTAACCTCACAGCGCCCTCAATGTGTGCTCATACTAATGTGAGGTCAAAGTGCACTCACTGCACAGAGACTAGGTACCCAGCATGCATTGCAGCATGAAGCTTTTGAATGTCACCATTGTTGAGATTCATACACTGATTCTTGATATTATCTTTGTTTTTAAATGACACAGCAGTTCAAAATGCTTGTGACATATCATGCTTTTAAAATTCGTCATAAATTATTACACTGTTGGATCCTACACTGTGTAATCAAAGAGCTATTATAACTAGCAACTTTAGATTAATAACTTCTCATAAAGACAGCGTACTGAATCTAGGTGATGATCGTATTGTTATCATCAATAACAAACCGATATCACCTAGTTGCAGTCTCTTTTTGGCAGTCCTTGACATAACAATTGTGCTTTACAAACACAGTTACAGCAGCCCAAAAAAATATAATGTTACAAACTCAAGGGTCAAGAGCCCAACTAAAGCAAACACTAATCACCTTGGTGCGTCAAATGAAACAATAAAACATCATCTAAATCTCTGTTAATTCTCAATAAGCGCTTTTGAGGTTGTGGTTAAGTGATGTGAAATACTGCCATTCTTTTCTGTTCTCTCCCTTTTCCTTACTTTGTTTCATTCTGTGTATATATGTTTTAGTTAGTTATATGTTAGATATAGTTTCATTTATTAAATCCCTTATATTCACAACAGATTGTCTCTGTTTGCTGCTCACAGTTCGAAGTAAATGAATGTGTGAACCCTTGCTACATTGTTTGCTAAATTACTGCTAGCATTGCACAAAGAAGGACAGTTTATTCTTCCGTGGCCAGAAAAATAAACATTCCTTGAATTGATAAACTATTATATTGTCTGCTCGGTGGACGGACAGATCAAATAATTGTAATATTGATTCTGCTACAGTTAATTCAAAGATATAATCTAAATATTTATTATGAATCATAACCAGTTATAATTCGTCATAAATATTTCCCTTTTTAGAGCTAATAATAAATAATAAAAACCCTTACAGTGATCATCGCATGATCTCACGTGTTGACTGGGTGTACAAACAGTGCACATGGCTATAGAATACCTATAATGCACTGTGAAGATTGTGTTGAATGAATCCCTACATCTTGCCAGAAGATGGCGTTTGCAGCGGAAACATATTGTGTAAGATCTGATATTTTATTATTAAGTTACCTTATATTAAATCATGGTCCATTCGCAGACAAAAAACAGACAGAAAGTCAGGCTACGCAAGACAAACAATAGTCGGGTTTCCATACAAAGTTGCGAATTTAACTTAGTTAACTTAACAAATGCAATTCCTTCTCCCATTATTTGCATTAACCCTTTTTCCCACAAGTCAAAATCCACCTCAAGCAAGCATAAAAACACTTTTGAAAATTAAAGGATGTTTATTCACAATTTGCCATTTTCATCCCTCGTTTCTGATGCGATACTTTAAAAAAAAATTTGATGTGACATGTGGCCAAGTATGGTGACCCATACTTGGAATTAGTGCTCTGCATTTAACCCATCCAAAGTGCGCACACACAGCAGTGAACACATACATACCCGGAGCAGTGGGCAGCCATTTATGCTGCGGCGCCCGGGGAGCAGTTGGGGGTTCGATGCCTTGCTCAAGGGCACCTCAGTCGTGGTATTGAAGGCGGAAGAGAGCGCCGTACATTCACTCCCCCCACCTACAATCCCTGCCGGTACGAGACTCGAACCCGCAACCTTTGGGTTACGAGTCCGACTCTCTAATCATTAGGCCACGACTTCCTCCCATACTTCAAAATGTGCATAAAAACAGGGTTATGGAAACATATCTAATGGCTTCACTCACCTCTCTCACAGGTTCGATCCCAGTATCCGGTCCCGGTGCAGTCACAGATGAAGCGATTCCAGCCCTCTTTACAGATGCCGTTGTTTTTGCAGGGGTTGCTGTCACACTGTTTGCCTGTTACTTTGCTGCAGGACGGCTTGATTCCGACTCCGTTCTGCGCCTCTGCGATTTGGCGAATGTCTTTACTGCGTCCGTCTATGAAGAGATCACGGATGCACCCCACATAGCCATAGTTCAGCATAGCGGTCCACAGGTCAGTGGGAAGAACCAGGCCAACACGGTTGTCTGGCAGACCTCCGAGATATAGGTCACCCTCCAGGTCTAGAATCTCATTCTCTCCACTGGCTGTGAATGGAGTCCGATGGCTGTTCACAGAGATGATACCTGTTCAAAACAAAAACAGACTGTCAGGAATGACTAAATAAGCTCAGCCAAAAGAAGACAACGTCATGCTGAAAAAATACATACATAGAAATAAGTACACAGTCATTAAAAAATTGGTCATTATGAAAATATTTGACAACATGATACTGCTAACCAAGCAAAACCAAGAAAAAAAAATGTGCAATAAATATATATAGGGATATAAAATATAGAGATGTGCATTTGTGTGTGTGTGTTCTGACACAATAATGTACTAACGGATAGAGGCAGGCAGAAGTTTCAGAATAGAAACATCAATAGAATTCAGTGTGGAGGCACTGGCAGATTGAGGGGGCACTCCGAGTTCTTCGGCTGGTCTTTATTATGCAAGTATTCTTGGTCTCTCAACACCCACGTGTCTATATATCTGTCTCTGCCCTTTGTTGCTGAGAAATACAAGTTTCTAGGGACTTGCATGAAGGCTATTAATCAGACAAGGAGCCAGTCACCATTCCTGAATAGATATATAACCTATTCACCAAAACTAAACCTATTATCACTGTTATGATTAAAATGAAATGTGAAAAATTAGCATTAAATAAAAATATTTCCAGGTTTAAATCACAGAAATGTCAGACTTTAAGTGTTGTCTCTGACTTTTGGATTGCTCTGTATAACATGACCAGAGGCATAAAATAAGAGCCACCCTCTTGTGACTTTAATGTGGAAAAGTGTTCGTTTTCAGATATGAAGTTTGTGACAAAACAATGAGGAAAGCTCCAATTACGCACTGTAGTCTTCCATAGAACAGTTTCTCCTGTGCTAAAAAAATAAATAAAAATCCATACATTTATTATGCTAGATGAGATTTTATTGAAGTCTTTGACTGTGCACTTTGTCGTCTGCTGTGAAAATGGTTTAGAATCAACCCTAATAACAGTGCTTAATACAGAGAAATTTAGAAAGAAATGATGCCATTAAGTTACAATTGAGAATAGATTATTTTTGTGGTTAAAAGTGCTACATTATCAGCTTCTTTTTACCAACAATTTGTTGGCAATTTAGATGTATTTTTAAAGCTTTGCTAAAGTTACTCCAACACCTTTTCAAATTTGACACTCTGATGCCAAAGGAGAAACTTTTTAAGCTCCACAATTAAAGGCACAATATGTAAGATTGTTTTATTAAAATATCCAGAAATCATTAGAACAGTGTAATATATTTTGTTGACTTGCGTACTTACTTCGAAGAATGTTTAAATCCAGAGAAATTGTTATTTTAGTCCATTGCGTCGCCTGCCAATGACGTCATGCACACTTGATTTTTGTAGAAAACATGGAAACACCAAAGACCCTTTAATATGTTATGCGTTCAGTGGTGTATTGTAACGAAGTAATAATACTTCATTACAGTACTTAAGTATATTTTGGGAGTATCTGTACTTTACTTGAGTTTTTAAATTTCTGCCAACTTTTACTTTTACTCCACTACATTTCCTAATTAAAATGTATACTTTTACTCCGATACATTTCCCCGAAGCATATTCGTTACTTACTACAAAATAGTCAGAAGTCAGAAGAACACGGACTGCAGGAAAGCAGGTTTGACGAATCAGTGGTCTGGCGTTTGCAAGTTAGACTCCTAAAAACACCTTTGCTCATGTGCAAACCAAACAAGTGCGCGCACAACCGTGGATGATTCATTTTTCCATGTAAGTGCGAGTCTGGGGTGTGCGATACACAGCATCATCTGCGATAATATGGTAAGTGTTGTTGTAATGATGTGCGATCTGATTACTAGGTAATCACCAAATCACACAGAGTGCACGCACGTTGATTTATTAGTCTATTAAAAGTCAAAATGCCAGGCACTCTAAATTGTAGACTTTTTATATTTATATAATTTAATATAGTTAACTTAATCTATATCACACAAAGAGTACCATTTTTCTGCAGATATCAGCATGAACACATTTAATAATCATTTTATACAAGTTCAGTAATGCAATAAGTGACTTACATTTTAGACATAATATTGCTTGTTTTTGCTAACAAATATAGTTCCAAACAAAGATCACAGCACTGTTTTGCGTCTCTGAGCAATGGACGGTATTTACTTATTGAATGAATCAGCTTTTTGAACGAATCGGTTGAATATGATTCAGTGATTCACTCACAGTCAAAACACAGTCAAATGTTTTGTTTCTGAATGAATCAGTCGTTTGAATGAATCGGTTGAATCTCAATGACTCACTCATTAACAGTCACTTGCTGTCAGTTACTGGCGGTTTTAATTTCACATTTCGACAATTTTCTTTCATTGAATTGATAAATGAGTATATTGTCTGCTCGGTGGACAGACAGATCAAATAACTGTAATATTAATTCTGCTACAGCTAATTATAAGATCTAATCTAAATATTTATTATTAATTATAACCAGTTATAATTAATTATAAATATTTCCCTTTTGAGCTAATTTGCTACACCTTTAAGCAAATATATTGTGAATATAGTCATGTCTAAAGGTTGTCATTAGGCATTACACACACACACACACACACACACACACACACACACACAAAATAATTCACAACATGACACATCATCAAGTACTTTAAAAAAAGTATTACATAATAACAATACATGTACTGGTGCATCTAAAAAAATAGAATATTGTAAAAAGTTATTTTTATTTTAACTTATTTCAAAAAGTGAAACTTTCATATATTCTAGATTAATTACATACAAAGTAAAACATTTCAAAAGTTTTTTGCTTTAATTTTGATGATTAGAGCTTATAGCTCATGAAAGTAAAAAATCCAGTATATCAAAATATTAGATTATTTCCTAAAATCAATCAAAAAAAGGATTTGCAAAACAGAAAAGTTCAAGTTCTTTAAAGTATGTTCATTTATGCACTCAATACTTTGGGCATCCTTTAGCACAAATGACAGCATCAGTGAGGTGTGGCATGGAAGCGATCCACCTGTGGCACTGCTGAGGCACTACTGAGCCTTCAGCTCGTCTGTATTGTTGGATTGACTGTTTCTCATCTTTCTCTTGAAAATATCCCATAGATTCCATATGGACTTCAGGTCAGGCATGTTGGCTGGCCAATCAAGCACAGTAATATCATGGTCAGAAAAACACTTGGAAGTGGTTTTGGCACTGTGGGCAGGTGCTAAAGTCCTGCTGGAAAAGGAAATCAGCATCTCCATAAAGCTTGTCAGCAGATGAAAGTATAAAGTGCTCCAAAATATCCTGGTAGACGGCTGCATTGACTTTGGACTTGATAAAACACAATGGACCAACACCAGCAGACGTCAAATCATCACTGACTTCAGGAACTTCACATTGGACTTCAAGCAGCTTGGATTATGTGCCTCTCCAGTCTTCCTCAAGACTCCAGACCTTGATTTCCAAATGAAATGCAAAATTTACTTTTATCTGAAAAGAGGACTTTGGACCACTGAGCAACAGCCCAGTTATTTTTCTCCTTAGCCCAGATAAGATGCTTCTGATGTTTCTGTTTCAGAAGTGGCTTGGTAGCCCTTTTCCTAAAGATGTCTGAGCGTGGTGACTCTTGATGCACTGCCTCCAGCTTCAGTCAACTCCTTGTGAAGCTTTCCCAAGTGTTTGAATCGGCTTTGCTTGACAGTATTCTCAAGCTTGCAGTCATCCCGGTTGCTTGTGCACCTTTTCCTACCCATTTTCTTCCTTCCAGTCAACTTTGCATTTAATGTGCTTTGATACAGCACTCTGTGAACAGCCACC